GCCAGCCCTCAGCAGGCTGGCAGCGGGAGCAGCACTAAACCGTACCGACCCTGGGGGACTGAAGTTGGAGCCTTTTAAGTCCCCCCTCTCCCTTCCCGCTCCGGCTCCCTCCTCTCCCTCAGCACACGCGTGCGTGCGCACACACACACCCCCCCGCGTGCACACCCACACTCACACATGAGCCTGTGGGACTCGGCGTGTCCTTCCTGCTCAGCCCAGCGAGCGGACGCCTTCACCCAAAGGGCATGAGAGGTGCCGGCAAGCCCGCTGAGGAACGGCACAGCTGTCCTCGTTTCAGGTGTCGGAGAGGACACGGGATGATTTCTTCTTCTTCTTCTTCTCGGTTTGTTTCACTGGAGGCACCTTGAGGGAGCAGCAATGGCTTTCAGAAACAGCGTGACCATATCGGCACATAGAGGTTTCCTGGGAAATAGGTAGTCACTAGAACTAATAATTCTCCAGCTATGCATCCTTGTTTGGCAGAGAGGCGAGGGATCATACCTACGGGGTCTCCCCAGGCTAGAAAGAGTTTGAGTTTCGTAAGTGCCTGACATTGAAAAAATAATAATACAAGAAATATATATGTATATGTTCTGCTATAACAAATAACATTGCGCAGGTATGGAAATGGTATGAGAGAGAGGCGAAATCCTGCATTTAACTTCAGAACTGGGATACCTTTCCAGGGCAGAGCGTGCTCTTGAAGGGGAGAGGGGTTTTTAGCCAAAAGATTGCCGAGGAAGAATGTTCGGTTTGACAGGCCTAGTTCTCACTTCCTTAGTTCACTTTCTTTGTACAGACTTGCCAAATTGTGACATCTAGCATAGCATTGGTAAAAGCAATTATCTTATCAGTGCTGGGATTAATGAACGTTTCAGCACTGCCTGTGAGCCTTGAGGCACCCTTTTTATGGCTTAAATATGGTGCTAGCTCCGATCTGCACAAACAGTGAATTTGTCATGCACCCAGAAGTAACCACCTACTTAAAGCGTGCACACTTGAATACGGCTGATTCATGCCAATAGAAGAGACTCAGTGTTGCAAAAGTTCGAATTAACTTATTTAGCTGTATTTGGACATTTACTTTTAGCCAATTCTGTGCAAGATCCCTCTTCTTTTCACTATCAACTACAGGGAGAACGATCACTCTGGGTATGAAGTTAGGGTAGGGACAATTTTTAAATTGGCTATTAACACGCCAACATTGTAATGTGGGTTTGATTCCAAACCAAAATGAATGTATTAAAGGGTATGTCAGTAAGTTATTTTGTCAATACCCAGACAACTAGTGCTGCATAAAACAGTTTGCTTTCATTTTTTATTACAGTGACTTAAAATAACCTAAGTATTTTAATACATCCAGTCAAGAACTAGAGATTTTATGTAAAAAAAAAACAAAAAAACAAAACAAACACAGCATGTATTATTATGCACTTGATTTCTCTGCTGTGTGGAGAAAGCAATAAGCATTGAGAATGTTAAACATTATGCAAAATATACTTTAAAATATTTGTTTTAAAAATACTGTACCTAGTCGGTCTTTTATGCATTACTTTGTTAACCTTTTTTCTATGCAAAAGTCTTTACATATCACTAATTAAACGAAGTCCTTTTTGACTGCGTTTTATGGATGATTTGTTGCACTTTTTGTTTGCTCTTGGGGAATACTCATGGACTCAAAGTTAGTTTCTGCCCCTGGTAACAAGCCTGTCGGCTGCTCCATCCTCTCCTGCTCCCCTTGCGCAGCCAGGCAGCCCGTCTCATACCGCGTGCTCTGAAATAGGCAGGAAAAAAGCGGTCTGTAAAGCAGCATTGGTTTTCAGGCTCATAAACTGGTTCTGCATTGACGGTAGGCCTGATGATACAAACCCGTCTGTCCTTCCCGGAGAGCACTAAAAATCATTGGGATTTCTAGGGTCAGCTTTCCTTCAGTTCCTCACTAAGGGCCTGTGTTTAGAAGGGGAAAATTTTAACCCAATGACATGATTAAGAGATAATTAATAATAATTGAGGGAAGGTAGTTTTTACCTCCAGTTCTGGCTTGCTAATTTACCAGTTCTCACTGAGGCAAGGGTTTGTTATTGTTTCATCTGCAAGGCCCATCTGTAGAAGGTGTGTGAAGCTCTGCCCGTAAGGAGGAGCACGAAGTCTTACAGGTCTGAAAGACACTAAAAGGTTATTATACCCAAATAACCACCGACAAGGCTGAGGCACAGAAACCAAGTGACCACCCTTCAGACAGACGGAGACTTCATCCATTGCCAAAATGCAGCCTCAGCCCAGCGGCTTGCTCCCCATCATCCCTTTCTCCCAAATGTTAAACAAACACGTAACCCATCCTCGCCTGCATCAGCTGGTCTCCAGCCCCCAGGCGAGGAAGGATTGTGATTTGCCTGAACAGCATGCTGTCCCATGGAGAAAATGGACAAAAGAGTTGGAAGAAGGCTCTTTACTCTTGTGCTGTAAATCATGCTGGATCTTCCTTCAAGTTTTGTTGTTTGGAAGGCAATTAGATATTTTTCTGTTTCAGGACGTAAATGCTACACTGCTGTATTGACATGTTTAGCAGCACGCAGTTCAGGTACCATTTGCTTTCCATATGAGCAGTTTCAAGAATAAAGGTGACATTAGTGAACTGGCAAGTAGATAAAAAGTGGGCTTTATTTACATGAAAAAGAGCAGGTTGCAACCCTACTTGACTTTAAGCTGTTAACTATTAACCTGGCCTCTAATTGACCAGTCGGAGGTCTTCCATGCATCATATTGTGTTAAAAATGGGCAGCCACTGGTTTGGTTCCACCTAAGGGGTTCAATCTAATTGATGTGCCCTAAAACATTACCATTTGTTGCCACAAATGCAACATTTTGCCTCATTCTGAAAAAAAAAAAAAGGGAGTTTGAAAAAATATTTCTAAGAGACTGATTAGATGAAAGCGTAATTATTAGCATCTTGAAACAACGCACCATGGATGGATTTGTGCAGCCTGCGTGTTGGGGCTTATCCCATTTTCACTCTCACAAAACAGGCCAAATTCATGGATGCTGATGTCTCCTCTCTTTTCTTGTTTTGTTGTCGTTTGGTTTGTTTATTTAATCTGAATCACCTGAGGGGACCAGCACATGAGGCAGGAGCTCAGCCGTCATGCCTGTTTAGTCCTGAGCTTCCGTTGGGAATGTTACCTCTCTGATAGCAGACGAAGATTTCCCAAGTGAGAAATTAATGGAGAAGAAGCGTATTTCACATGTGCAGTTGGAAAGCCATCAGAGGGTAATAGCTTCTGATGGCTTTGGTTGTGGCTGTGCTAACAGGTCAGAGCTGAAGGAGTCCATGAATTTTTAAAACAGAGCAAAGGAAAGCTGTTTCCTTGGCATAACTGAGATCCAAAAGGTAGGACTCGTGGCTGTGCATGCAAACTTACTGCGGCCTTTTTCTATCTTCATCTGCATTCAATGATGAATGGACCTGGAGGAAGAAGAAAGTTTGTAATTTATATAATTTAGGACTAGATATAGCACAGTACAAGAAAGCAAATCAGGCTGCTTGCTCAACAGTAAGCAGTTGGCTTTGACTAACTTTTCAATGGGTGGGTTTGCAAGTTTAAATTCCACTTACTGAGAGGATCAAAGGAGGTTATGCAATTTCCTAGAATGTTTTTCTTAAGAAGAAAAAGCTAAAAACCAATTCTGTCACTCAGCATTAGCAGGCTCGAAACCTTAGCCCTCAGCAGTGCAAATAAAAAGCACTTAGGCTGCCGTAGCTGCGGGACTGACTGTGTCACACAGCACTGGGAGATTAGCCTAGAGAGGAGACGGGCAATAGAGGCGGTGCTGCCTGCCCTCCCTTTGCTCTGATTGCAAGTGGAGGAAATCCGGCTTTAGGTATTGCCCCAGAAGAAAAACCGGCTTCTGTGGCTGAGGACTGAATGCATATAATTCAAAGCAGAATAATTGTGTCCTGGCTGTGACTACACCTGCCTGAACAACTGGCAGGAGGTGCCAGTTCATGCTGTTGCTTTCTTAGTGTGGGCCTCCAAAATGTTTGTTTGCAGCTATTCTGAAAGATGGTACTTCAATCAGGATGTCGTGAGGTACGTAAAGGGCATTTACCGAAGCCCGGGACATGGATATTGGCAAATTCTTAGGGCTATTGTAAATGACAAATTTCTTATTCATAACAGAAAAAAGGTCACAAGCGTCTTTTCATCAGGAGATACTACATCAGAAAATACTACTGAAGAGTGAAGTGACTGTTACCAGCTTTGTAGTCATCAGTCTCATTAGTCATCTGCTTCTGTAGGCACAGATGGCCTGAGAGCACACCAATGAGGACCTGAGTGAGTTAATAGTCACAGGTAGTTTTGTCCAACTTTGAGAAAAGATGAAGAAAATGGTATAGCTTTGTTAACAAGCTTCATGTGCCCAGCCTCATTTGTGTGAGGCTACTGCCTGAACCTGAGTGTAATTTTACTCAACGCTGAAATTTTTACTTGTGCTCCGTTCCTCTGCTTCACCATTTTACACAGCAACGTCTTGTGTTTTGGAAACTAATGTGTAGTGTAAAGGTCTCACATCTGACCATGACCAGAAATTATAAGCAGAGGAGCACCAGGCAGGTGCTAGAAATGCTGGGATCTCAACTTGAGGGTAAACCCAAGCTTTTCTGATTTACAAATGAAACAAAATCTTGACAGATAATTATCTGAAAAGAGATATTTTGGTTCAGGTGGGGGGGGGGTTTGTTGTGTTTTTTTTTTTTTCCCTCTAGTAATTGCTGCCACTGGAAGTTGTAAAGTGCTATTAATGTGCAAATACAGTCACTTAGGCAGCATTCAATTGCCGAATATTTGCCATGTCCTAAGCTGGGCTCCAGCTATCTCTCTGGAAGGTGCAGGTCTCCCTTGTGCCCTGTGTCACCTCTGCCAGCCGTAGGCAGATGCCTGGGAAACCCAAGGTTGCTTAAGTGGCACTAAATGCGTATGGCCAGGCAACTGAATTTCTCCTTCTCTATCTTGCATCATCTCTGGAGAGATAGGATTTGAAGCTTAATAATAGTTTCACGTGATCTAGTTTTTTCAAAG